CCCCCATCACCCAACTAGCAGTTTAGCTACTGACTCGTCTCCATGGACCCTCCCTTCTAATTACAAGTTCAGAATTTGGAATCAGCATCCAATTTCAGATCCTGAAACTGAGTTATTTATCTCACTGACAGATTCATTTATACTTTCATTCACTCGCTGCTCTGTGACACAATCCATCCACACAAAGACACCAAATGCACTGAGACACCCAGACGCCTGCTGGTCCCTGAGCTAAAAGATACTTCCACTCCACCAGACTGATGCAGGCTCTGCGGATCGGATTGTTGAGGGTGAGGCAGAAAAGGGCTCTGGGCGGTCTGCCGCTGGTGGATCCTCCCTGCTTTTTGCTTTTGGCATACTGCTGCCTCTTCTTCTGTGCCAGTGAGCCCACAGGAGCTGGCGCAGAAGTGGTACAAACTGGGGGACGTGAACTTATGTTGGGCTTTTCAGGATCGCCCTGCGCTTGCCGGGCTGCGCTAATGGCGGCATGCCAAGCGAGGACCGGGCTGACTCCGGGTGCAGCTCCACCGGGACCCTGAATGGAGTTGTTGGGCCCGAGGAGGCCATGAGCGGAGCCGACGGGCTTGCCGGTGCTAGCTGGAGGATGAAGGGACTGTGATGGATGGAGCTGGTGCAGATGGGTGTTTCTTTCTGACCAGGGAGCTGAGGTGTCAGTTGGGGAAGTGGTCCTTCTGTTGCTGGCATACTGTGCCCCTGGAGAGAGCGAGTGGGAAACAAGGATAATATTTTGAGATTGAAGTTATAAACAAAAACACTTGAACATGTGTGTCATTGGAGGCATTGCAGAAAAGCTGCAACATTCCAAAATCCTTTCCACATTTTTACAATTTCAGGCTCATATCTGCCAGCTAGTAATAATACAGATGATATACTCACTTTGAATCCCTATGCAAAAAGTAACATATCCAAAATCTACACTAACATTCAAAGTATTCATCTATGCTCATGGAGCAAAACAAAGGCTCTGGAAAAATTGCCTAAAATGTGTTCTTAATCTACACTATTCAAATGATAAGCTTGCAGAAATATATCCTAATATTAGCTCAACGTGTTTACACTTGCATCAAGAACCAGCCACTCCAGCTCGCATGTTTTGCCACAGCCAATCATTGAACAGTTTTCGGAAGAATATTTTCTGAGGCCCTGACATTCTTGTGTAGACAAAACACAGTGGCATCTCCATCTTGTGGCTCTCCTGCCTTTGGAGGTCACGATTTCCGCAGCACCAGCAAAGACAATTGTGTTTGCTCCTTTAACATCTCACAGATGTATTTTCTTGATTGTCAAAAAGACAAGACTCCATTCTTTAAAATCTGGGTTAGAGAAATGCTTTCTATGCTGTGTTATAAAAACTGAGGTACAGTAGAGCCAACTCTCTGGAAAGATTCAGAACCACCTGGCTGCCTTTCACTGAATGGCTATCATAATGCTGCTGTTTTTGTCTTGTTAATGTACATAATAATGGCACACTCATGAACTGATGGTGAGTTAAGGAGAACGAGTCCCCCCCATCCCTATTATGTATACTGTTTATGTTATTATATCAAATTGGGGTTTTTTCTGTCTTGTACCCGTAATCTTAGGGATGGATGTGGGGAACATTAAATTTTTTTAGAAAATTATAAATACAATTTGTGCCAATATGTTTCTGATATATTGGCTATTTCAGCTATTAGTCCATATATTGGCAGAGACATTTATAATGGCTGATAAATTCAAAGTATAAGAGTGAACAAGCGATGGGAAAAATACCCTTCAGCCATGTTATTAGCGTGGATGTTGTATTTTTTGCCCATCAGAAAGCACTTTGCATTTTCACTGTTGGCAAAGGGATGGAAGTCTACAAAAAAGATCAGCTGGTCACGTAAAGGTGTAATCCACAACCTGCTGTGACAATAAAATGAGATTACTTTTAAATAAAATTGTCATTATAGGACTCATAAATAATACCCATAGTCTTGGTCTTGGTCTTAAAAATCAGTCTTTAAAGTGCTTTTCAAACAAGGACACCACTATGCTTTCCCAATGAATGAGGAGACTGAAGATAACTGCTAGAATTTCAATTCAGCTTTTTGCAAAACTCTATTGGGAGCCTAATGGCAGTGGACATACATATATAATGTCGACAACATTATCACTACTTCACATTTAAACTTGCCTTGTACATTTACTTGCTTAATATGCAATTAACTGTCCTTTAAGAACCCATCCAGAGATAAAATGGGCAGAAAAATAAGAAGAAGAGGTGATTATGGTGATTATAATTATGGTGATGACGGGCTTGAAAGGAGCCCAGAAAAGACAGCTATAGAAAGAGAAAGCAGAACAGCCTGCATGAATGGGAGAGACAGAGAGAGTCATTAAAATCAATGCAGACCATGAGCTAAAAAGTCAGTGCCCTTGACACAGTCGCACACTGCAACTCTATAGCACAGTCACATCGTGGAGTGTTGTCAGCTATAGACTGGCCGTGTCATCCAGCAAAAACAGCTCCAACACACAACTAAGCACATAAAGAAAAAGAAAGAAAGAAAAAAGAAATGAGGAATCGATTTGTGTGGGTCATGTGCAATATGAGAGAGAGGCACAAAATCTGAGAAGAATAAAGCTTTTCTTTTAAAAGGTAATGATTAGACAAAGTTGGTTCCTTTATCAGATTTCAGGCAAGCTCCTTAATTTTATTACTTTTCATCAATATTCTGTGTTCGTCTGTGCAAAATCATAGTCACGATGACTCGACGCTCATAGTTAAAACATGATAGTTTATTATGCGGGGAAGTCTATCCAAAACGTCACTTCACTTTAATTGCGCTTGATGTCAGCGCGATCGCAGGTGAGAGGTGCATTCAAAACATTTCAGCACCACCCCTCCTCATACAGCGATACACCACCGCCACAGGTGCAGCAGAACAAGTGCACGCTGCTAGTTAATAATAGTCACAGCCTGTCCGACATGTAAAAGGAATTAACCCAGCGCTTCTGCTGGATGTCGCACATCTGTCACAAGATGCTGCAAAACAGCTGTTGACTGTTGCTGTGGTCGAGTTTTGCTGCTTTTGTTTGGACAGCTTCTAAACTCTAAAAGAAAAACTTAGAAGAGAAGGAATTTACTTTAAAAAAGTTCATTTAGGGTCTCGCAGCTTGTTCTGCAGAGCGAATATATTCAAAGCATCCTGTCACATGGTTTCAGAATGACTGTTATAGTCAACCATTTTTCGGAGAACTAGCCTCAACTCGCTTCCCAGTGGATCTGATTACTGATGTTATCACAGTAATGTAGCCTACAAGCGCTTACAGTGTTAATACACAATCCCTGCACTGGAATAAGTTGAGGAGGGGAAAAAACATGTCAGCAGCAGCCACGACTCAGAGCATATAATCACACGGATTAATCAGACATCCAGAGAATAAACCAAACGAGCGCTCTCGCCCCCTCTCCCTCTCTCTCTGCTGCGCTCCAACTCTCCTCCTGCGCTTCCACACGCACGTTTTAGGTTTTGTTTTTTTTACCTTCAGACTGTTCATCTGCTTCTTGCATCCTCGAATCCACATCGAAAAGATCCGTTTTAAATCCAACTCATCGTTGGAAAAACCGTCCGAAGGTGTCGAAGGCGCGAAACCTGAACAGAGCCTTTAACCTGAATCATAAAATGTTTTCCGAGCGCAGACCCTGAGAGGAGCGCCAAACATTTTCGCCACATCCGGGTGCCTGCCTGCAGATTCACGGCGTATCCGAGAGGACGCGCTGGCAGGGGTAGTCAATCCAGTGCTGTCAATTATCCTCTCTGTGGCTGGGGACGGACTGACACAAGTTGGAGCAATCGCGTGGGCTCCACTGTGCTGAAATCACGCGCGCCCACCAACTGGAAATGCACCTGTTGCTTCCTATTGGGAAACTTGCAAAGAGCGAATGAGATCATCTCAACGTAAACATTTAAATGTTTTTAACTCTAGACGCCAGATGCTGCTTTAAAAAAACCCCTCTAAAAACAAATCATCTGACTGGAGAATTAAGTCGTGCGATGACATCAGAGAGCAACGAAGACAGGGAGAAATGTATATCTATCTCACTATATTAAATTGTATGATCCTAAATGGAAAAACTGCTGCAAGGCTGCAATTAAAGGTCGTTTAAAGTACAGCCGTGTACCTGCTTTAAAACTACCCACGGGTTTCAAAACCTCCGAATCTGTTTATCCTTTACGATTCGGTTAAGTGCTGTAATGAAGGTCATGAGACACGTGACTGCACAAAAGAAACCAGTCGGAACAGTGATAAATCTGCTAGAAAGAAACAAATGGTGACAACTATACTTTCCCTTAAGAGGGAAATTTCTGTATTTGAGGATGAATACCATGTCCCTATCTTATCCTATCCTATCCATATGAAGAGTTAAACGCTCGGACTTACCCCGCAGGGGTCTTGCCCTTATGATTAACGGCATTAGATCACCTGGCTCTTCTCGGGGGCCTCATTGCGCTTTTTTCTGTCCTCTCTCCGCGAAGATTCGAGAGGAAATGGGTTGTTAGAGCGGTGCTGGAAGGTTACTCGTGATTGGATTACCTGAGCCTGCGGGATAAAGTTTCAGGGTGGCGCGTAATCCTCAGATTATAATCCTGCTCCACTGTTCCATAAACTGCAGGTGAGGGAGGCAGATACAGCTCGGTCCGGACAGCAATCCTGCACAATCCCACTGTGCACGCAATGGGTTTAAAGTATTATGTCCAAATAATTACAATAAGTACAAAAAGGTCACGCCAGGACACAGGGGCGTTTTAACTTTTCACTATCAGTCTGCCATTTCGAGCAAAGTTAGGATTTAACGTGACTACAGATGAGTGCGATTTCAAATAAAGAACATAAACTAAAGTAGACGTAAAGTGTCACAGAGGTTTCGAATTAAAACACACAGCCATAAATATCGTTTTTCTTTAACTGGTTTTCCTCAAATAGGTTTTACTATTTGGAAATTATATCCTATCGTAAATATCTCATCATGCCACGATTATTATAAGTTATTATTATTATCATAAATTATTATTATTATTATTATTTGATCGACTTTGAAGCTCAAAAGAGTCACCAGAGTTTTTTTCCTAGAAACATTTTGTATTTAAGCACTCTCTAGCTCTAGCTAAATGCGACTGACCACAATTACAGTTCGAATTAATATGCGGAAAAAATCAGTGCCTCGGAAACTTTTTTAAAGAGCCGTGGTTTCCGGGGACAGCGGAAGTTATATGTGTCTGCTGAATTCCGTCCGTGTGGGAGCAACAATCATATCCAAAATGGAGACCGTAAATGCTGGACATATGATGAGCTTAGCTGCTCTACAGAGGCAAGATCCATACATAAACAAATTGCTCGATGTTACCGGCCAGGTGGCTCTATATAACTTCAACTCCAAGGCGAATGAGTGGGTAAGTTTGTAAGTAACGTGACTTTGCGGAAAGCCGTCAAAGCTATTTGACTTAGCATGCTAGCTGTTCTGTATAAACACAAAAATACAAAGAAATTTGATAATATTTGCGGAAGTGAACTTTATCCAGGTAATGCTTACACACGTTGTGTTTCGCCACCACTGTCATTTTGAAAAAAAATTATTTCTTTATTTTTTAAATACCAATAAGCGTAATCTTTTATCCGCTAGCTATAGTTGTGCTAACAGCGTCCTTTGCTATTATTCAGCATGTTTATCGTTTCTGACTCACACCTTCACTTTTTATTTTACAGGAGAAGACTGAAATCGAGGGCACCCTGTTTGTTTATACAAGGTAAGCACGTGAGGCTTTTATAGGAATGTAACGCGTTGACCGCGAGGACTTGTTTACCTGTTCTTACGTTTCACGCGCTGTCATTTGACGTGTTCTACGCACGTGTGCAGGCCTCAGTCTTTGTAAACAAACACGAATTAGATTGCATGTGATTTTTGTCCGCTCACAAGACGAAAATCACACCCTGTTTAAACAGGAAAATAATAAGTAAAAGTTTTAGTAATTAATTCCACTTGAAGTGTAAAGACTTGTTTGATAAATAGCTTTAACGCGCATCGTTGTTTTGAGGGCTGTTCATATATTCATTTGAAAATAACGAAATGTTAGCAACCGATTTAATTGGTTATTGATTAATATGAATATTTTTCACAAAATTGAGAATTATGTAATTCTCAGAAATTCTCATTTACAATATCTGAGAATCCTCCAACCTACCTCCAAGCCTGAGGCCATAGTTCTCAGCTAGAAAAGGGTGGAGTGCTCCCTCCATGTAAGGGATTATTTGCTATTTGGATCTTGTACACAATTGAGGGGAGCGTGAAATTGACGGACTGATCGGGGCCACATCTGCAGCGATGCAGATGGTTTACAGATCAGCAGTGGTAAAGAAAGAGCAGAGTCCTAAAGGGAAACTTTCAATCTTACATCCCTACCTTCAGCCATTATCAGGAGCACTGGGTAGTGATCAAAGACAATGAGATCTGTGCCAGTTTAGGCGACCACATACCACATGGCCAGAGAGCAGCAGCCAGGGTTTGAAAAATGGGATGAAGAGGCCAAACTAATCTGAAAATCAGTGAACTTTTTTTCTCTAAATGTGTTAATTCTTTGTCATAAAAAAATCATTCATGGATGACTAAACTAATCGACACAGAGATATGTCATATCAGTGAGGTGATGTTTTATGTTTTTTGTCCCTGAAAGGTCTGCTTCCCCTCACCATGGCTTCACCATCATGAATCGACTGAGCACGGAGAACCTTGTAGAGCCAATCAATAAAGACCTGGAGTTTCAGCTACAGGATCCATTCTTGCTCTACAGAAATGGCAACTGTGAGTGTTTTGTTGTCCAGTTACACAGAAACTGCAGATGTCATGTGCAGGAGATTCATATTTCTGTGTATGCTTGGACTGAAATCAGATGTGCTGCAGTACGTCACAGCTTCTCAAAGTTTGAGGGAACAAAAAAAGACCACCATCCCAGAATATCAGCCAATGTTTCTCAGCTACATAATATTTCTCTAGTACAATGTTTCTCCCATAATATAGCGCTGTATCACAAAAGGTAGTGTCGAAGAGAAACATTTACCATAGCTTTGAAAGGCTCCGCTTTAGACAAAAAGAGATGATAATTTGGGCAAGAAAAATCACAAATTAACTGAAAAAAGTAAATATCCAAACAGTCAGTAAACTTTTAACCTTTATCTAAATGTTACCGCACTCTTAGTTTTTAATTCATGAACTTTAGAAAAAAATGAAAAATGTTGTATTCAAAGAATTTCTGCGTTTCTCTACATATAGATTTTGTGTTAAGTTTGTTTGCTGTATTGGTTTTATTTCATTTTTCCTGCTCAAAAGCAATAATGCCAGAACACATTAGTACCTTTGAAAATGCTGGACAGACACTTTCCCAGTGTTCTCTGGAACAGCTCTTCTCCCTTTTGCTTGAAGTCCTTCTTGTATCTTGGAGAATCAAGGAGGAAGACCTTGTCATTCATGGCCTCAGACTGGTCTGTCAAACCACACAGTATTCAGCTTTGTGTGGCCACAGTTTTCATTCTGTATTGGACCAACAAACAAAAAAACTTTTGGCTCTAAGGGGTGAATTAGGCTTCTATTATATAAATATTTTTATGCCTGCTGCGTTTTTTCCTGAAGGCTTATTCCAGTGAAATCGTTTAGCGTTATGAGTTCAGCAGGGAGTAGTATCAGATGAAAAGGCTGGAAATAAATCCTCAAATCCTCAGAAAGTAACTGACAGTGCTCCCACCGAGGTAATCTATCAAAAGTCTGAACAGAAGTTTCATTAAGGCAATGAACAAGGAGTTGGATTGTTTTCCCATTTGTTTGCTAATGAGAAAAAATAACATGGCCAGGCTCAGCGTCAGAGTGGACTGCTCCCCTTTAGGACTCGGCTTGCCTATCAGCCTGCCTGGTATGGAAGACATGATGTAATGTTTTTGTTGATATCCAAGTCAGAAGCTTTTCCAGGTGCTTCACAGGAGTCCGACTGCTGCTGTTTTCATTTTAATTCCTCAAAGTGTGTTAGGTTGCGGGCAGATAAAGTGGTTGAAGGTGTTCCTCAGGCTGTGAAGATGCTCGTCTGACAGCTGATGGTCACTGTAAGGCGGGTCAGAGTAAACGGTTTTTGATCATTTGTTCCACACGAAGGTTTGCACTGCCCATTTGAGCTTTTCAGTAAGATAAGTTACGGGCTGAGGAGCCTTTGTTTGTTCTCTGCCTGAAGTCTGTTTTGCTGTTTGTGATTGCTCTCTAGGTAGAGTTCAGGTTTGTGAGAGAAAGTGAGAGCAGGATGTAGATGATGCTCCTGAGACTCCTCTCTCCAATTAAAAATAATGAAGGCTGATATTGTTGAAAGATGATTGTTTGAAGAGCATAGAGTCGAACACGGAGAGGATGGATTCTTCAGAGGGATGTTAATGCTGCTCCAGGTGTGTTTGAAATCTCTTCTGCAGGCTGATGCGTGCGCTCAAAGTTTCAGATGTCTGTTGCTGGGGTGTGTACTTGGACTTGTGCATACACCTGTTTACAACACTTTGTGTTCCCGTTGGTAGCAGGGGATGCTCCAGGGAGGCAAGCACTTGGGTTGCTAGGTTACCTCAGGCTTTAGAGGGAACTTGAATACACCAGTGTTTTATCACATAGACACACACAAAGCATGAGCAGCTTCATATAAAATTATTGTTTTTCATCAGAAACTGCAAATGTGCAGTTTGCTTGTTTTCCGTTTGGTGTCGGTGAATGCTGTGTTAGCTCTCCACAGATGAACTTCTCCTTTTTGTGTTTGATTGTTTTGTAACTTCACTGCTTTGGACTGTCAGATTCTCATTGATCCTAAGGTCCACTAATGTGCAGTCATGTACAGTGCTCATTTAGTGTTGTTTTCAGTGTTTTCTTGGATGGCTCAATTATGTTAAGTCACAAAGCTGACTAAATTAATAATCTTAAAAAGACTTAAAAATCATATAGTTCCTTTAGCTGTATTTATGAAGGGTCGGGTTTGTTTTAAAGAGTTTTGTATAAACTGGTGTCTGCTGTCAGTGTTATTAAATGCATTATTTGTGTCTGTGTTTTTAACAGTGGGTATCTATAGTATTTGGTTCTATGACAAGAAGGATTGTCAACGCATCGCTCAGCTCATGGTCAAGTAAGTAGCCAGATATTTGATGGATGAAGTGGATGAAATTGGGCAAGGCTTTACGTTTGTCTGTTTTTTCCACTTATCAAGTTTGATTTGTATTTCCAAATTGAATTACAATGTGTACTTTCTGGAAATGTGGAGGTCTGTTATGTTCACTAAATGCAGGGTTTGAACAACTCCACATATAAGATGCCATAAAGTTGATGCAGTGTAAGGAGTTTTTAATACAGAATAATTCAAATTAAACAAAAATATAGGAGCCCCATGAAAAGCAAATCAGACCATGAACCAACCATGCAGCGGGATGTAAGATTCAGGCTCCACCTTAAAAGTAAGACTGCCATCTCCATCTTGCAAGGTAAAAGGAGCAATCACGTCACTCCCAAGTTGACTACGGTGCAGTAAAGTGAAAAAAATCGAGGAAAAACAGACTTTGTTTTGCTCGGGAGCATTGTAGAGCTTTTCATTCATCACTAGCAATATAATGTACGGCTTATTTAGCAGGTCACACATACGCAACAGTAGTATCCATCCATCCATTTTCTTCCGCTTATCCGGGGCCGGGTCGCGGGGGCAGCTGCCCAAGCAGAGAAGCCCAGACCTCCCTCTCCCCAGCCACCTCCTCCAGCTTATCTGGGGGAACACCAAGGCGTTCCCAGGCCAGCCGAGAGATATAATCTCTCCAGCGTATCCTGGGTCTGCCTCTGGGCCTCCTCCCAGTGGGACATGCCCGGAAAACCTCGCCCAGGAGGCATCCTTGACAGATGCCTGAACCACCTCAACTGGCTCCTTTCGATGTGGAGGAGCAGCGGCTCTACTCTGAGCCCCTCCCGAATGGCCGAACTTCTCACCCTATCTCTAAGGGAGAGGCCAGCCACCCTTCGGAGGAAGCTCATTTCTGCCGCTTGTATCCGCGATCTCGTTCTTTCAGTCACTCCCCACAGCTCGTGGCCATAGGTGAGGGTAGGGACGTAGATCGACCGGTAAATTGAGAGCTTCGCTTTTACACTCAGCTCCCTCTTCACCACAACAGACGGTACAGCGTCCGCATCACTGCAGCCGCTGCACCAATCCATCTGTCGATCTCCCGCTCCCTTCTCCTATCACTTGTGAACAAGACCCTGAGATACTTAAACTCCTCCACTTGGAGCAGGTTCTCGTCCCGGACCCAGAGTGGGCACTCCACCCTTTTCCGGCTGAGGACCATGGCCTCAGATTTGGAGGTGCTGATTCTCATTCCCACCGCTTCACACTCGGCTGCGAACCGTTCCAAGGCCAACAGTAGAAATGAAGTTTTAATGTTTTGCTATTGTTTACGCTTACTGCCACCATCTTGGATTGTAAAGTCAGGGTTGGTGGGACTTTCTGATTATTCTCAGTGAGAAATCCAACTTGAGGAGGCATTCCATCTCAGAACTTAGGATTTCTGCTTTCCCATTTCAAATAAAATTCAGAATAAAAGTGGTTCTGCTGGTGAGTCCCAGCTCCCAACTCAACTAATAGATCAAAACAAAGAGCCAGGCACTTTGCTTCTTCTGATTTTCAGCCAGTCAGGCATAGGGATGAGTCGGGGTGCGAGCAGGTTAATGACAATTATCAAAATAAACCGTGATCATGGTGCAAATGAGCTGTGGAACGATTGGCCCACTTAGGAAATCTGTTGATTTGTCCCAGCATTGTGCTCTTGTGAAGCAAAGATGCAATTTGTAAGGGCCTGGATTGTCTAGTTCATATTTTGGTTTTCGTTGCATGGTTTGTATAATTTGAGTAATTTCACTTTAAAAAACAAAAACAAAGTAAGGTTGTTCAGTATATTAACTCTGACCCCAACATCATCAGTACTTAATATCTGACAAAGCAAACAACAGTTATGTGTGCAGGCAATATGTCATGCTTTAACTCTGTGCCAGGATTGTGAAACAAGAAGCAGACCATGCCCAGAAAAAGTCACCTGAGAGGGCAGAGCCGGGGAGAACCAATGGAGTCGCAGAACCCCGCAGCATTGATATCTTGGAGCTGCTCAGCAAAGCCAAGGAAGAATACCAGAGGGTGAGGTGGCAAACACGCAGTTAACGTAACATCTGACTTATGTTATCACACGAGTATGATCACCTGATGTATAACTATAGTGTTTGACAGGATTTGAGCCCTAATTTGTGGAAATTTTGACAACAAAAACAAAGTTGTGTGAATATCCATATAAGTTATTACAGTGGTAAATGACCTGGGTCTTTTTCAGGTGTGGAGTTGTCAGTTTAAGATAGAGAGAACAGTTCAATATAATCTAATGTTTTTATGTTTGTGCAATAATTGCAGTCTCAAGGAGGTGAAACAGATGTGTCCATTGAACAGACAGCAAAAGCAGCTGCCAGCACTACAGATCCCCACATCACACCGCAGCCTGAAAAGGTACAACACACACACAAAGCAATGATTTGAGTTCCAATTTTCGTTTACCGTATCTTTAAATGTTTAAAGCTTTGTCATTCTTGTCACTCCTACACATAGAAAGTGTGGAGGAGGACAGTTAGAAGGGCATGTTTTTATCCTTGTCACTCCATACATAGTTAGCATTTGGCAGCAGAGAATGCTGCAAGGAACATTGCAAACAGACACCCAAATACGTGCCTTCAATTTATGTCACAGCCATGAGTGCTGCTTGTGTTTTCTGCAGGGTTTGCATGCGGGGCTAAGATGAACTGAACAGTTTGGGACAATCAATGTTAACTAAATGGAAAGGGAAATGGGCCATGTTGTGAATCAATCATATACCATTATTATATTTGGATATATTATAGCCTGTGTTTCCTGATACATTTCTAAGATATTTATCACAAGCAGTGGAGCTGTGTCATCTCCATGTTTACCAGGTCTAAGGACTGTAATTTTTACAGAAAAGTCTTGTTTTCATCCCATTAGCCAGTTTTTTGTTTTTGCATTAAAATCCCAATAGTTACCCAAAAAAGCCTCTGCTTACACTGTTTGCTGTTTGTAAAGCTCAATGATGACGACAGCTTAAACAGCTAAAATAGCACCAGGAGCAGCAGAGTGTAAGCTCCAGCTGATTAGCAACGCAAAAACAAAACTTGCAGCCAACTATGTTGTCAAAATATGATAATCGTATAGCTTCCAACAAACTTTCATAATCTTACTTATTAAACAACCTGAATGATTAATACATGATCAAAATAGTTTTTGATTCGTTTTCTGTTATTTGATTTTTTTTTTTGAGCTCCGCTGTATTTGAGGTAATTGTTTCTTTACCCAGCAGAGCTCTCACCCCGTGGTAAAGCAGATCACAGTGGAGGAGCTCTTTGGTTCGTCTCTCCCTAAGGACCCCTCTCTACCAACCATGCCCACGCAGAGCAACACTGTTTCCAGTGACCCCTCCGCTGCCTATGTCCACAAACAACCGTATCCTGCTCCACCTCCACAAAGCACTCTCCTCATTCACCAACATGCAGCCCAAGACCCTGGTTCCAACCAGAGGAATCAAGCCCCCGGTCTGCTCCCTGCTCCATATGCACTACACCCAAGTCCTGTATTCCAGTCAGTGATCCAAAGGTCAGACCCCCAGCTACACTCCTCAGTGTCCCCACTCATAGTGCCTTCAGGTGCTCCTCCTGGTACCGCAGGACCTCCAACTGCTCAAACATCCTATATGGGTCAGGACATCCTCGCCACACTCAAACCGGCAGCACCTTCTGTAAGTTCAGACCACCACAAACCCATCCTCGCACCTAACTTCCTGCCAAGCACATTGGTCCCACCCCACAGCTTCCGAGAGCCTATGGGAAAACCCCTTCTCCAACACGGAAAGGACGTGGATGTTTTCTCTCAGTCTCCAAATCTGATTAAACAAATATCTGTGAGTTCAGCTTTTTTTTTTTTTCTGGTAAATTTGAATCCAGTATTTTTGATCTTATTTCATTTTTTGCTTTTCTTTCCTCTTTCAGGCTGTCCCCATGAGTCCAAGTCTTGCTGTTCCAGGATCAGGGGTTTCTATGCTGCTTTCCCCCAGTGCCTTCCAGCAGTCCCTCAATAAGACACCGGCAGCAACGTCAATGGTCCCTCCTGCACCCACTGAGCCCACCTCAGCCTCTGGAGGAGCTAAAGAACCTGTAGCAGCCCCCTGCAGTAAAGCACAGCTACAGGAGACTCTGATACACCTCATTAAGGTAAAGTAAAGCGTAAAGCATATAAAAGAAACTGTCGGCACTTCATAGCATGAGAAAAGTTCAAGCTAGTACTAATTACCCCTGTATTATAACATTATGTATAACTTTAAATATCTTTTCCACACATACAATGGAACTAAAAATGGACCTTGTCTAAAATTGTTTAGTGTGTAGACAGTGGCAGATCTGAGACGCCCACAGAAGCCTTAGGTGTTCTTCCCAGAACTAAATAACCAACAATGTGCTTCCTGTGTACATAAACATGTGTGTGCCCAAAATGAATGGTCTTGTAGAATTATATTAATATGGATTATATACCGTATATAAAAAATAAATTAGCTCTTTCTTTTTTTTTCTCATTTTCTCATGTGTGAAGTTGTTGTCCATGCATTCTCTCTAACAGCCAGCAGGGGGCGACCATTCTGGTTGCAGAAAGCTATATTAAACCATTGATGCTGTTTAACGGTTGCAAAATCCACATACTTAAGCAGTTTCTTTTTTTCTTCTTCTTCTTCTTCTTCTTCCTGCCCTGATTTTCTAGAATGACCCAGACTTCCTTGGTGCCATTCATGATGCTTACCTGCAGAGCCTATCCAAGGACTTTGGCAACGTAAAACTATAGTCCTACTTCATCCATCACCACTCTTTTAGTGCTCCGACCTCATCAGGATCAATAAAGATACACACAATTAATGGAGAAGTAAAAAAAAAAAAAAGTGGAGCAAACAGGTTTTCAACACACTGTTCACCAAAAAACCCTTCAAAACTAGTCTGTGTGCTAAAGGTTATTACAGCATGCACTGCACCATCTAACCATCTGTTCCTGATGCTGAATACTCGTTTTGGATCTATCTTTTGTCAAAATCTATGAAAAGCAGAACTACTGTGGGAAAGACTAATGAGATAAATTTTCCCAGTTAAATCTTGATGTATGTTTTGTTTGGTTTTTTTGATTTTTCCTTTTGAACTTTCTGAATGTGGTCAAACTTTATGGTTGGATAAAGTTTAGCTGTTGGTGTTTTGTTTTTGTTTTGTTTTGTTTTGTTTTCTCTGGAGGACAGAACCACAGTGGAGCTTTGGGAACCTCAAACCCGCTGACCCTCAGGCAGATAGTTTTGCAGCTGTACGAATCACAGGTGCTGCTTCTCTTACTCGTCACGTGTTTGGTGTTCTCACCACGAGCACACTTATACTGCGACTACTTGTGATGAGAAAGGCCTCTGTGCTGGGGACCTGAGCTATCCTGCTATGTGGCGTTTAAGCAGAACCAATCTTCCCCCCCCGTTTTGTTGGGTTTTTTTTACGTTCTACGTTTTGAAGCTGAAGAAGATGCTGAGCAGCCATTCCAGGCGTTTTGTGTTTGGCAGGCGTTTGTTGAGGAAGTTTTAAGCTCTCGTCCAGTGAAGATGAATAACTTCTATCATTGTTTGGAGAAGAAGCACTTGCAGCCAAGAACTCAAACTAATCACCTATCCCTCTCAGCTGCTTTTATAATGTTACAGACGGTGATATGTTTATGACTCAGAAACGAGCTCCTTTGCTACCTTTGGTTTTTCCACAAGTCTCCTTACCCTTGCTTTGTCTACGTCCTTCCCCTTCTTTGTGCTGTCATCTCTCCTCCACCAGCTGATCTTGCAGTCGTGGATGTTCTCGGAGGGGAATGTGCAATAGGCGACAGTCGCAAAGCCTTTAGGGATACCAGCATTTTGGGATATCTTAGTCTGCTACTACAGAGCCTTTTGGGGTCTGCAAGTGATTTATGTTTCGAGTATTAAGAGAAAAAGGAAAAACCAAAGTAGCAAATTTCGATTTCTGTTTCTTTTCGATCCTTTTAGCAGTAAAATGCTTAAGCAGGTGGAAACCAATGTGCTTTTGATAGCTTCAAACAAGCTGAGTTGCTACATTTACCCAGACTAACGCTGAAAACTTTAAACTACCTCTAGGCCCATCTACCCCCCCCCCCCAAAGTATGTTTTTCCAAGCTGCAGTCAATAAGTTGAAGATGAAATAAACTCGGGTGTTTTTTTGCAGTAAAAGGCTACTGCAGCACGTCCCCATAAACCCTGCAGACTGCAGTGGAAGCAGGAGTAAACGCGTCCGTTTTCCTCGTGTACACCACTGAGTGGCTGCTGTTTGTGAGCAAAGAAAAAGAATAAATGTACGTCATGAAATCTGAGATCTAAAAAATATATATATCAATGAATTTTCGCACAAAAATTTCAGCATATTCAAACTATTAAAGTTGTCTATTTATACAAAAAAGGAAGAAAAATGATGTAAATGCATGAAAATATTAGAGGGTTTTCTGACCAGTGGTACAGTGATGTTCAGTAGTTGGGCCATTAATCCAGTTACTTAAACAACCAGTATACAAAGTCATTAATATCCAAACAGTGTATTTTTTTAATATTTGTGAGCAACAAGAAGAGCAGAGATTATTGCTTTGTGTATATATTTTTTTTTTATTTTGCGGCATGAATTCTTGCCTCGATCGTGACATCACAGCTTGGTATTTAATATTTGAAGTTGTCTTTCTCCTGCTTGCAGTACTTTTTTGTAAGTTTATTTTGTTTTTTTGTAATTTGGAAAAGTTTAAATTTCAAATGTGAAATAACGTCCGCATCCAGGGAGCAAATGGGATCCTTTGTTCATTTCATTACCATGTAAAAACTCATTTTTCATGTCAGAGATGGTTTTGCCAACACATTTTCTTTGTTTTTCTCTGCATGTGTTGGTTAAATAAAGAATAATTGAAATGTTAGAGATTGTTTTTAATCCCGGTCACATATTTAAGATTTTAAGGTAATTTTACACGTCGGTCTAATTTATCTTATTGGCCCACCATGTGGTTTTGAGAGTTTTTGCAAATAACACAAATTTTTCTAAGATTGATGTTATTGTGCGTAATTTGAATATTTTGTGATATTAAAGATTTGAAAGTAATTGTTTGCTCTTGTTTTCTGCTTGGAGGAGTCAATGTTTTGGTGAGCAGTGAGAAGCTTCAGAACTTAAAGAGGAGTGTGATTATTAGAATAGAAATTTGAGCCTCTTAACAAATTATTATTAATATTATTATGCATATTTCTAATTAAGCCCAAGTTTATAAAGACAATCATAACTAAGAGATCTGTCTTGAATGGTGCAGTGTTGTCTTTGACCACCAGATGTCACTAGTTCTATACTTTAAACCCGCACCTACCCCACAGTAATTGTCACAGCCAACATCAAATTAGTAGTTCCGGGTTTAAATGAAAAATTGAATGCTGATTTTCTTTATTATTATTATTATTATTATTAAATAAACTTACACGGCTCGCTTTTTCTCTTTTACTTACCAGATCATCTGCGGGCAACAAAAGGGAAGATTCTTCAAGAACACCAAAGAGGAAATTGGGGGGGGGAGGAAAACTGTCACACTAAATCAAACGTTGTGCAGACCTTACCTGAATGCTTGTATATCTCCTTCATTAGGAACTGGGTGGTGATCTCTTCAGTCTTCATTCTGTAAATCTTTTACACCAGAATACCCTCTCCTCTGATCATGACCCGAAAAAGCCCACTGCTCTTTCTTAAAGAGGTGTTATACGGTTCTTCAGTCTTTACACGTGGCATCAGTCACACATTACTGAAAGAGCTTCATTTTTTATTATCTTCATAGTATCACAACACGAGCCCAAATGTCAGCGCCTTAAGCTCCTGTTCAAATGTCAAGGCTTAGTGGTGATGTTGGTCAAAGCTGTGTAAGAATGTGGACAGCAATGCTGCAGCTACAAGGAAAGTCCATTTGTATAAAATGAGAGCATTGGGGTCTATTTATAGAGCGGTGTGAACGCATTTTGCAGCCTGTATGGATGCATGAGATGAAACTCCTCAGTGCAACTTCACGATAAATAAATAAAACTTTCCCGCTGTTTAAAAAATGACGAATACAAAACTATGTCAGTATAAACTGATCTCGATGTGCATCACTTATTTTATATTATAATATATATTTCATATATAATGTGTTCCCACTTTTTTTGCACGCATTGTTTTGGTTTGCATAGTTGCTGTCTGTACAGAGCGTGGAAATGCTGCATCTGAGCGTCCCTGATCAGAGTCTGTGTGCCGGCTTGCTGTGAGCGTTTACCCGCGCGTGTGGCCTTGGTTTTAGTCCAAAGCCTTCCTACTGTCGGTTCATGCGACAGTTTGGACTAACTGCAGGCTTCGTTTGGCCCTAGATTAGCCATATTCATAGGCTTCGCTTGCAAACACGCCCCCTCCCTCCCGCCCTCTGTCTCTGTGGTTAAACAGCGTTATCTCTTTTTAACCCCTGCCATCGTCCGCTGCGCTCTCCTCGCCTTTATTCTCAGAACAGTAGACCGGGGGGAACTTTTAACTCTTTTAACTCTATTTTACCGGCTTGCGTGTGAGTGAGTGTGCTTCTCTTCGGTTCACCGGCCAGATGGAGGACTATCATAAACCGGACCAGCAGACGGTGCAGGCGCTCAGGAACATCGCCACCCGACTCCGGATCAACTCCATCAAGGCGACAACTGCAGCGGGCAGCGGGTAAGATGGTTAAACCGAGCAGGAGACGCGTGACAGCAGAAAACGTGGTTTTATGCACGTCATTTTTATCCGTTTAAATATCGATGTGTGATTTCTTTCATTTATGAGGACCTGCTTCAGGGAAGCGCATCGTAATTACAGATGAACTGGTCGCAGAACACAGTAACGTCTGTTTTAACGTGTAAAATAGTCAAACTGTGTGTTTAAAATATTGTAGATGCACCATATGAAAATCTGTCTCTGTGTGTGACGTGTCTAAACTTTTTTAAGCATTTCAGTTGTTTACCTGTGCGTATAGTTAGTTTTATACCAGAGTCTGTGCGCAATTTACGCAAAAGCAAGGGCGGTTGGGCAAGTTCATGTACATACATGCTGCGAGTAATATCCTGACCGAAAATATAGTCTTAATGTATTTAATAATATGTTGTGCCCTATTATTTTGAAGGGGATCGAGCTTGCTGCAGGTGCACTGGTGTTCCACTCCTCTTGTCCTCCGAGATCACTTACGCAACACACACATACAACTCACGCCGGACAGTTGTTTTATGTGGCCGTTGCTACGGCTCATGGGTCGATGTGTTGTGCGGCAGCAGAGAGCCGCTCAGTGCGCAAACATGCTTCTGCAGCGCCTGCGTGACCCGACGGAAACGGTTAAGAGGCAAAAGCGAATAACAACGTCCAGTGTGCACTTTCTAAGTCGCGATGACAAATATGCTGTCATGATAGAAAATACAATGACCTGGAAAATAAATCGGACTTTTCATTATTGGTGACTCTTTTTTTTTGTTTTTTTAAATTTTATCGAGAAATAAATAAATTGTTTCTTTTCTTTTGTTCTCGGTTCTTGTTGTTCTTCAATGATTTGCTTCCAACATGAAGCTCCTCTCTTTCCAGTGGAGATGCTTCCAAATCCATCCATCACTTTTGGTTCGAATTCCCTTTTTAGCTTAAAGACATCAAACACTTACAGACTTTTTTTTTTATATAACGTGTGCTACACCAATCACTCACCCTTTTCCTTGTTCTTTTTTCTTTCTTTCTTTCTTTTTAATTATCTCATTACATTTTTCATTTCAGGGTATTTAAAAAAAAGAAGCTTTAGTGAGGTATTTTGTGCGCCCAGAGGACGGAGCAGTGTAGGAGCTATTGTATATGTGCTTACTGTTGTGTGACCTTGATGATAGTGTGGCCTTACATAACTCCCCAAATACTGATGGTCTGGCTTTAATTAACCCACTGAATGTGCACTGACGGGATGAACCGGACAGTTAAACTCAATTTCTAATGTCATTTTGCCTCTGCACCTATTTTGTTGCAGTCACCCCACATCATGCAGCAGCGTGGCCGAGATCATGTCCGTGCTTTTCTTTCATTCCATGAAATACCGACCCGAAGACCCACGTAACCCCAACAATGACCGGTTTGTCCTCTCTAAGGTAATGCGCACACATCCATAATGGTTGAAGACGTTTTCAAAAGCATCAACACACAGAGGGAGGTTGAACTGAGTCAAATAATATGCATGTGCTCTAGTGTATATATATGATTTTTATATAGTATGTGTCTAAATAACTCACTCATTTAAGGCTCTAGCATATATATTACAATGCTACAAAATTAGTGCAGTCATCTGTGTTCCCTCTGTTCAGTTATCTGATCAATGAGCTCTGAAAACTTTGCCTCCTCAGGGTCACGCAGCCCCGGTGCTGTATGCTGTGTGGGCAGAGACGGGCTACCTGAAGGAGAATGAGCTTCTCAACCTCCGCAAGGTCGACTCAATCCTGGAGGGACACCCTGTGCCGGTGAGGCAACATTGAAACCTGCAAGAAGTTTAAGGCTTTGAGAGTCACTACCATGAATCAGGAATATTTTAAAACCTTTATGCTGCCTTTCATGGTTTCCTTTCATGCTTTCTTTGGAGTTGAGAGAGAAGTATTTGTCGTGTTTTCACACTGAAGTTGATACGTTTCACACTGCACTAAACACACACGAACAGAGTGAGATATATTGAAAAGTTAAGTAAAATCTTATATATGTTATGCTTTCCGACATTTCTGTTAAATACTGCATAGTTTATGGACAAGTGTTTGTGAATAAGGACATTACAGTATCCTTGCTGCACACGAGACGTGGACCCGCTTCCACAGATAACAGCAAAGCATCTGTAGGCAGAGACAGCGAGACAACGCTGCGCCTGTGTGACAGAGATGCTTTGTCGTCTGCTGCAAACATCAGTGACACTTTGTCCACATTAACCCAGAAATTGGCGCACTGTAACATCCAGACCATAGCTGCTGTTCCAACAGTTCCACTGCTGCTGCTTTTATGATCCATTTAGAAATGAAAAACAATCCATCTGCTGTTGCTTGCTTAGCTCGAGCTGGAGTGAGTAATGTGCATCTTTTTTATGTGTGCGTGGATGCAGAAGCAGCAGTTTGTGGATGTGGCCACGGGATCTCTTGGTCAGGGGCTGGGAGCCGCGTGTGGAATGGCTTACACTGGAAAATTCTTTGACAAGGCCAGGTAACACAAACAAAGTCACACTCACGCGTATAGACACAATCATTTTGGTGGGGGGCGTGCACATTTCTGCAGAAGTGCAGCAGCCCAGTTTGCATCTGCACACATTAAGATGGACTGTATGAAATTATGCATGACATAATGTACGCTGCAGCGAGCTGCACAGACATGTGACATTTCTGCCTGGAGCTTGGGAATAAAACGCTCTCTGACAGGCTTGGTCTGTGCTGACATTTAGGCAGTCACTTAGAGCTTATGAGAGGCGACCTTCATCCTGTTTTACCTTCACATCAGGATTAATGGGGCTGGATGAAATCAGTGGCAGTGAGCTCAGAGTTGAATGCATATAAAAAGTTTTATGTTTGTTAAAACAGTGTACTATTTCTTTTTTCAATTTCTTTCAACATTATTCTTCACAATTCAAATGTAGTTTCATCTCAGTGTTTTGACAGCAATGCAGCTCCTACTCAGCTGAATTTCAGCTGATTGAACTCGCTCCACGTTTGTCTCCTTTGTTCTTGCGTGGTCTGGAAAATACCCGGCCGTTTCTGTCTGACAATAGATGTTTAGAGCCGTGTAGCCTGTAGCATGCTGGATTCACGTTTTCAAAATTTGTTATGATTTTCTATTTCTTTTTTTT